CAGGGATGAGCAGCACTCAGAGGTGTTTGCAGGGCCTGCCTTTGCTCTGGCCATGTGCACACTGTCAAAAGCTCAAAGCTTTAATTCCTCTGGCTCTCGGGGCCAGGAGTAGGGAGCTCCAAATTAAACAGATCAGCTGCAAGCTCTGAGCTTCTCGAGCTGTGCCTGTGCCCAGACACAGAGTAATGTAAATAAAAGGACACATCACACTTTGAAGTCGGTGTATTTTTTACTATTACACCAGTTCCTTATGTTCTAAAATGAGTAATGCAGTGGGAGGCTTAATCCATGTCCCAAATACAAGAAAATGCCAAGAAATTCCTATTTCCCTTTAGCTGTGGCTTTTGCTTATATCTGTTTCAGACTGGATAAATGGTTTTTTGTGTATCTAGGATAGAAGAAGCAGAGTTAAATACAAGTGCAGCCATATGTAGTATCAAAGTAAAATTTGAGGCAAATCAGCATAAATCAAGCAGGATTTTATGCAGAAGTTGAGCTTCAAGTTTTTTTTTCAGAGTTAAGTAATAACCAAAACAGTGACACAAAGAATATGGCTGCAAAACAGGGAGATAAATCTGCCATGTTTTACTTGGATATCACAGGGGCTTAGAGGCGTTTAKGGTATTTTATGTTCCATATGTGCTTTATTGCTTAAACTGCAGGGAGTTTGTACTTCCCTGYGAGACTCCTGCGCTCTGTGCTTGAGGAATTGTCTCTGTATTTGTACAAGAAACACTAACAACTCCTGTGGTTGTGGAGCAGCTTCCCACGGCGTGCACAGGGTGCAGAGCTTTGCATTAAAGTTCTGTATGTGACAGACAGCCTTGTTCTGGAAATAAAAGTGACCTGGAGCAGTGTAAGGTCCGGAGCTCTGCCGGAAGGGTGGAAATAAAATGAGCAGGGCATTGTCCACAGACAGAGCAGCTCATGTAAGGAGCTCAGCTTGTTTTGGAGGGGGTTATTGAACYCTTTTGTCACACTGTGTGTACATAGAACTTGAGCTTGAATTAATTAATGATGCTGATATTTACYCAGTGAAACCTCACGGGGCAAGTGGCACACATGAGCTACATGCTGGGGTGCTGGAAAGAGATTTTGTTTAGAGGATATGTAATTTAACAGTTTGGAATCCACGCTGGCCTCTGGAGCTGGAGAGGGGATAAGGAATGTTTTTATAAAATTCTCCTGTTGTGTGTGATGGGAATGTGATTGGTGTCCATTAAACACTGCAGTTTCTTGCTTTACCCTTCGCAGAGGGAGGTGTTCCCCTGCCGTTCCTCATTAGCTGACCCCGAGCTCCTGCAATATTTTAAAAGAGGAGCTTTGTGTTCAGATCAGCAGGGGAGGTGCCCCAGGGCTTTAACTGGTGCCAGATGTTGGGAGCGGGGTGTGCCGTGGATTGCAGTGCTGCTGCTGGGAGGAGGTGACACCAGGACATCAATCAGTGTCCTGGGGACATTGCTGGTGTCACATCAGCATCCTCACCTCGCTGAGCACCAGGTGTATCTGCATTGAAAATACCAATGCCTCGAGTTTCACCTCAGAGTAGGAGTTACCATCAGTGTTCTGTTGGGAAGAGGTAACAGCATCCCCGACCAGGCACAAAACCTGAGCCGTGTTTTTGCTGCAGATTTGATCTGGGATTTCACAGGACCCAGTGCTGGCTGCAGCTATGAAATCTCTCAGCAACAGGGTAGGGTTTCTCTTCCTTCCATCCTCAATGTATTAAAATGAAGAAATTAGGCTGCAACTGCGGTTCATTAACTGCTGAGGGACTGTGTTAATCTGATAAATGGGGAGATTGTTTTCAGGATGAATTGAGATGAGTTGCCAACTCTTGAGTTCAATGGAATTAATGCATCTAGGATCAACTGATATTTCAGCCAGCTTTTTTATTGGCAGTTTCAGTATTCTAAAAATGGCATTTCCTGCCTCATATCTGAACAAGATCCCACACCTGCTTGTAATTTAAATATTACAGGCCACATAACTGTGTGATCAATGGTGTCTCGCATCGTTTTCCTCTTACCCAAAGCAGTTGGGTCACATTTATGTGGGTCCCGTGGGGGGCCTTTACCTTTTGGGAGCAAAACACATCCATCCTGAAGCCTGAATTTACTTCAGTTTCGAGGAAGAACATCCCAGCTCATAAGAAGGAATTCGGAGCATGGTTTAGGACAAAATAGAACTCGAAAGCATTACTTTATTGCATTGTGAAGGAATCAGAGAACAGTGATGTGAAGCAGCACAAGACTGATKTTTTCTTTTTCAGTACTAAATGAATGGTGCTATCCTTAAGACAGAAATGGGTTAATTTCCTTTTATTAGCATGACATTATACAAGTAGCTTGTAAAAATCCATTTGAGCTTTTTTTTCTCCAGTCCCAGTGGTCAGTGTTGGGGATCAGTGAGGAACACTGGAGGAGCCACTATCCACTTCAACGCTCCCTGCATGTCTGCTTTTGCTGTCATCAGTATCTTTTTTCTTTTAAAAAACTGCCACATAACTGCAACAGCAGCACAAGGTGAAAGGTGCAGCCTCTGCCAGGAACACCGAGGGTTTTGTGGCTGCAGAGGAGAGCTCTGTCTGGGAAAGTGTTTTCCTTCATTGGCACTTACTGACCAAACTGAAATGTTTGGCAGGTGGAGTTCAAACATCTTTTTGTTTTGTAACGGGAAGGAAACCTGCCAAATAATCTGCAACACTGKGTTTTAAAAAGTGGATAGGAACAGACATAGGGGAAAAAAACCCGACCATCTGGGAACAATAAAGGATGCTGAAAAACTCCATTTCTAACAAGAAAGGGAAGCAGTCTGCAAATGTGTTYTTTATTGCAAACACCCCATTTTATGATTTCTGTTCCATTGGTGCATCTCAGTGTTGTGTGATCTGCCCCCTTAGCGTGGCTGGGGTCACCCTGGAGGGTTGTGGCATCATCCCCAGAGSCCCTCAGCAGAGAAATGCTTCTCTCCCATCCACAGCGTGTTTTATTCTCTCTCTGGCCATCACTTCTCTCTTGTAATGCCAGAGGAGTTTTAATGGCAGCCTTTGAGACCGTTTCCTGATGCTCTCTTGTCTACCAGGCTGCTCCAGGAAAAAGCCACTCCCCCAGTTAACATCATACAAGCTGCTCTTACAAAGGAGGCTTTGAAAAAAAGGGCTGAAAACTTGGAAACTTCAGATCTAGRAATAATTAATGCTGAAAGAGCCATGGTGGCAACCAGAGGGAGAGGAGGAGGAGGGTATGATATGGGAGGAAAAAATGATGACCAAGGCAGRGACCAAATAACAGTGATTTTTCTTTCCATTGCTGCATTTATTATGATGAAGTGATTGTGTGGGTGAAGGGGACACTGGTAGTTGTGTGTRTCTGAGCTATGACAGTAATTTGTACTTGTTTGCTCCTTTTTTCTCTCTCTCTCTCTTCCTGGAAGTGGTGAGTAGAGTGCTTATAAAATAACKTGCATAGTGCAAATATTTTTCTGAACAGAAAGGTCAAGAGTTCAAAAGCGAATGAAGGAGCAGAGTCCTCCTCCGCTGCCTCTCAGCCTCAGAGCAAGCAGGCTGTGCCATGGGTTATGGCATGTTCTTACCAGCCACAAACTGCCCCAGAAATCACAGAGAAATGGCAAAAAKGATGACTTGTAGCACCAGATTTCACTTGGCTGAACCGTGACRTGTCCAGAAGTGAATTGTTCGCTAAATGTAACCGATGAGGAATGGTTTTGTGGTGATGTGGTTCTGTAGCACTGTTCAGTTAAACAGCCTGACTGTGGCTCTAAGTCATCATTAGCTGCCCTTCATTAACAGAGGAATGTCTGTGCAGGTGGTTTTTGTCCACGGGAACTCCGCCTTCCTTGTGCTGTCAGGCAAACAGCAATGTGTTCTGACAGAACCAGAGTAACTTCCTGTCAAATGAGCCATGTCTCTGTGTGTCCCGTGATGTTTCATTGTGCTCCATTCTTCCCCAGGCAYTGGCAATTTTTTGTTTGCTCCCTCATCAGGCAGGAGCAGTGGGGAGGAAATGCTTTGGGGACAACATGCCCTGCAYGAGGATGCAACGAGCATTTAAATTTCAGCGCATAATTTAAAACCACGAAGGSAAGATTAATGTTTTACTGGTTGCAGTCCTGCTCTGAGGACATCCAGCTGAGCCCTTCACCAAAGACACTTTGTTTGATGAAGTGYAGTTTATTAATTGGTTTAAAGACCTGTCCTTTTTCCAGGCCAGCAGCCAATTCAGTGCTTGGCAGATGTGAGTGTTGTTGCTTGGCCTTGACTTGTGTTTCATCAGCGTTTTGTCTGCAGTGGAGGTTTGCAGTCTGCTCTTCAGCAGGAGTGTAGGGCTAATTTCTTGTTTATAACTTTAATGCCTTTCCAATGCTTCCTTCTAACATGTCCAGTCTCTAAAAAGCTGAGACTGGGCTGAAGGAACTGATGTAAAGGGATTCCTGACAGGCATCCAGGTTTTGCCCTGATGGCAGCAGCGTGTGTACTTTGCCATCAGCACTGATCTGCTACAGCTTTCCATCAAAATAAATAGGATTATTTTTTAGTATTTATAGTATTTTACAGTATGTATAGGATTTTAGTAAAATGCTGTTTTGTTTGACAGGGGAAGGAGGGGAAGCCCCCCAGAGCAGATGCCCAGCACGGAGAATCTCTGTCCATATTCCAAATTATGCAGAAGCTGCAGAGAATTGTGTTGTGCAGCATGAAGCTGAAAGTACCATGCAAGCAGTGCTGTGCTGCTGTGGGCATTCTGCTCTCAGATTGAGAACCTCTCCACAGCAGATGCTCCAAACAGCTCACAGAGCATAGAACTCCCTTCATCCCAGCCTGGGAGGACACTGGGACTCATGGGCAGTTTCTCTGTTTCTACACAGCTATCTCAGATTACACACATAAAGCAAAGTGCACTGGGTTTGTGAACTGCTTGCAAACTTGRGCTTTGTGTGGTTTGAGTTTGATTTGAATCCTGTTTTTTGTTTCTCCATAGATGGCTGGCGAGTGATGTGTTGTGCAAGTGCCTCGAGTTTCCCCTCCAAGATGTGTTCCCCAAATCCAGCAAACTGGGTCACCTTTGATGAYGAGCCTCTCTTCCAGTCGCCTCAGAAGCTGGTTGACAATCAGAGCAGTTGCAAAGCAAATGGCCTCAAACTCAACCTGTCTGGGGTTCATGAGCCTTGCAGCCGGCCATCCTCCACAGGCAGCACTCCGCTCTCATCCCCCGTGGTGGATTTCTACCTGAGTCCTGGGCCCCCCAGCAACTCTCCACTTACCACACCGACCAGAGACTTCCCAGGAAACCTGTGCTTTCCAAAGCCTGGGGTTCACATGCTCTACCCCATCCCTGAGTGGTCATCAAATGTAAACCCTCCCGCATCACAGACACCCAGCAGCCTTCCCCCAAAGCCCTCATCCCATGATCCAGCCTCRCTCTCCAGAGCAGCAGATGGAGGAAGCCCTAACCCAGCAGGGAGCTGTGAGGAGCAGGCTCCAGGACACTTCCCCTATTTCCACAGTGACTGTGCTTTTTCCAGTCCCTTTTGGAAGGAGGGGTGCTCCCTCAGCTCATCGCCTGCTAACGTGAGCGTGCACAGGAAGGACAGCGTGCTCGACAGGAGCCATCCTAAAGACAGAGAAACTTGTCACGATCAGAAAAGCCTTAACCAGGGCTCCTTCAGCTACATCTGTGAGAGGCTGGAGCACCTGCAAGCCGACAGCTGTGAGGCCGTGGARAACCCAGCCATGTCCAGCACCAACGCATGGCACAAGCTCTCCCCCACCATCCCACGCAGCCTCTTCAGGAGCCGGMAATCAGAGGGGTGGCCCTTTATGCTGAGGATTCCCGAAAAGAAGAACATGATGTCATCTCGGCAGTGGGGCCCCATTTACCTGAGCATCCTGCCCGGAGGGGTGCTGCAGATGTTTTACGAAAAGGGCCTGGAGAAACCTTTCAAGGAGCTGCAGCTGCAGCCGCAGTGCAAGCTGTCCGAACCCAAACTGGAGAGCTACAACGTCTCAGGAAAGATCCACACGGTGAAGATTGAGTGCGTGTCCTACACGGAGAAGAGGAGGTACCACCCCAAGGTGGAAGTGACCCACGAGCCSGAGGTGGAGCAGATGCTGAAGCTGGGCACCACGGATTACAACGACTTCACCGATTTCCTSGTGACGGTCGAGGAGGAGCTGATGAAACTTCCCGCTGTTCCCAGGCAAAAGAGGAATTATGAAGAGCAGGAGATGACTCTGGAAATCGTGGATAACTTTTGGGGGAAGGTCACCAAGGCAGAGGGGAAGCTCGTGGAAAGCGCGGTGATCACGCACATTTACTGCCTGTGCTTTGTGAATGGAGGTGCCGAGTGCTTCCTCACCCTGAACGACCTGGAGCTGCACAGGAGGGATGAGCGGTACTGCCAGGAGGAGCAGGAGAAGCCATGGATTGATATCCTGGAGTGCCACTTCCACAGCTGTGTCAGGGCTCAGGAGTTCCAGCAGTCGCGGGTTATCAAGTTTACACCCCCGGATGCCTGCAGGCTGGAGCTGATGCGCTTCAGGACACGCTACGGGGGGCAGGAGCTTCCCTTCTCTGTCAAGGCTGCAGTGGTGGTTCAGGGGGCCTACATCGAACTTCAGGCTTTCATAAACATGTCTGCAACTGCTCCCTCTGGKAAATACTGTGAAAATGTCATGATACGCTTTCCCGTTCCCACWCAGTGGATCAAAGCACTTTGGACCATGAACCTCCAAAGGCAGAAGTCCCTAAAAGCCAAAATGAATAGGAGAGCGTGCCTTGGGGCTTTGCAYGAGGTTGAGTCTGATCCCGTAATCCAAGTCTCGGTTGGAACAGCGAAATAYGAGAGTGCCTACAGGGCTGTGGTGTGGAAGATTGACAGGCTTCCAGATAAAAATTCAAGTAAATAATCCATGCTATGAAATGATGGGCTTGGGTGTTGTCTGCACTGGGTTTATGCTTGTGTTCCTCCAKCAGCTCTCGTGGTTGGGGTTTTTATCTGTGCAGTGCTGTTGGAAGAAGCTGGAGTCATCTTTTAGGGGAAAAAAGAATATAGCCTTAATAGTTTTTTTAAACAACGCTTTCCTAATTTCTTTGATGGACTGTCAGCTATTTTAAATGTGCAGTATCATGAAGGTAGATCTCATCATTCTCAGTAAAGCTCAAATCTGTAGTAAGACAGAGAGAAGGGTTTATGCTTCCTGTGTACCAGCTGGGCAGTGGATGGGATGGGAAGCAGAAGTTGGTTGATAAAATGAGTTGTTCACCCAATATCACACAGTTAATTGAAGAGGTGGTGTTGTCACTGCTGTGCCTTGGCTTTCTGGCATCATTTAAGAGATGGCAGGTGTGATACAGAACTAAAAGGTGCTGTGGTTCAATTTGCTGTGCCTTTGCAAAGGCTGATTTCTATTCCCTCTCTCATGGGTTTGTGCACTGAGATTGTACCTTCATGGCAATAACTGCACTGACAAAAGATACCTCCCACTTTATTCCCATCTCTTTCTGGTGGTGGTACCTCAGTGAGAACTTGTAGCAGTAAAAGCTGCTATGTTTTTAACTGTGCACATGGAAGTAGTTAGTTTAATTTAAAGACAAAAATATTACTTGTTGAAAAAACAAGATATAAATATTTAGGTTTAAAATTCCAATTTTTAGTCACGTTACCTGTACCTTTCTAAAGACAAGGTACTTTTCTAAAGGATAAAAAGGAGGAATACAGGATCCTGCTTCAAGTTCTGTAGAGTGAAGGCATTTGATCCTCTGCTTTATCCTTTGCATTATGTGTACCTGGGGCTTTGGGAATCTGTGCAAGACAAGGGCCCTGCTAAAGCATTTCATGTGAATTATCGGTAAAATCTGTACTTTTAAGGAGGGATAAGTGTGTGTTACTGACAAATGGATTGTCCTAGTCTTGTATTATCCTAACTGTCTGGGCTAACTAACTCTTTAAAATGTCCAGAAAAGATAAAATCTTTTTAAATCCTGGTTTCAGGTATTCTACTGCTAAGCCAGGACTAATGGTGGGAGAAGAGAAATGACAGAGAGAAGGAAGATAAAGGGAGACAKCAAAGAAGCAAGGGCTGGGGAGGCTGGAAAATAGACAGGGAGGGCACAGGAGCTGATGGAGAGGTGTGGGAGAACAAGCAGGGCAGAAAAACATTCTTCAGGTCTTCAAAATCCATGTCCTGTGCTCTGGGTTTCAGAGATCTGCACCTTTCTGCTGTGACCCAGGCATTTTCCCAAGGCTTCCAGGACTATTTGGGTCGCTTTTAGTATTCTTTGCTGTTTAATGTCGGTTTGCTGCTGTAAAATCAAGTCAGCAGCGTGGACAATTTTAAAGGAGATTATAAATCCTCCAATGTCCCTGCAGCTCTTTCACCTGAAGATTTGATGTGCACAATTAACTTCAGATTTAAGTTATTTGAAAGTAAAAATTGTTTTTCTTGTGGCGTTCTACAGCCTTACATTATTTTCTACAAGTAGCTTAAACTTTTGACATTTGAATAATTCCCYTAGCTGAGATCTGCAGAATCATTTGTCTCTGTGAAATATTCATGAATTTGAAAGAATATTTTTGAGTAATACTGCCCAGTCAAATTTTAAACCTCTTCATCAAGTGCTCTGTACACAGTTTAGGGTTTAAAAATAGAGCTGTCCCAAGGAGYGCCAAAAGTCTGGAGACAGTCAAACTAACAGAAATATGTAAACTTTCATAATGCTTTTACCGCAGGCGGAAAAATATGCTGAGGATTTTGCTTTCAAACAGCCTTTGTCCAAGGCTTCTTAAAAAACAAAATAAATAAAGGGAGGGAGAAGATTGCCTACAGTCATATTGTGGCTCCATTTATAGACATTGAAATATGTTAATATCCACTGGATTGTACTAAAGCATTTTCCTGTTAAAGTGCTGGCCAAGTGAGGTTGAGAGGAGCTGCAAGAAACACCAGACTTTTAAAAGCTGCCTATGCCTGTTCACATATATAGGTGTCGAATTTGCAGGCAGAATTTCAGCATTATTTGCAAAAAAAAAAAAAAAAAAGAAAAAAAAAAAAAAAAAGAAAAAAAAAAAAAAAAAAAAAAAAAAAAAAAAAAAAAAAAAAAAAAAAAAAAAAAAAAAAAAAAGGAAAAGAACAACAGACTTTGAAGGGCTGATCAGTGATATTTCTGCAGGTTTAGTCTGTGTTTGTGGAACTGGAGCTTTGTGTAAGGAAATGAAGAACATGTTATGATTTTAGCAGTGTCAGCTGCTTCCCAGGGAGTTCCCAGGGAGCAGGGGAGAGGCTACACTGCAAAGCAGAGCTTTCCTCACTTGCTGTGTCAGTCTGAGCCCTGTGCTGTTCCCTGCTGAGACACTTCCATCCCTGTTCCACTCCTCTCCTTCCTATGCTCTTCTCTCAGCAGGTCAGTAAATGTCCCCCTCTAACCATCCTAATGTAAATCTGTTCTCCCTAATTGTTTATGTTTTCACGTTCAAAATAAGACTTTCAGAACTGGACTTAATTTGGCAAAAATAGAATTCTTACATAACTGAAATAAGCAGTACATTATTTTGGCTTAAACTGCTTTGCTACATGAGCTTTTCTCACATCCAGGTATCTTGAATGATACTTTTACAGGTGACTAAGGGCTAAATGGTGTTAATAAGTGCAAAGATAGATTAATAATTGCTTTTGAAATGCTGTGTGAAGGCTAAGTGATATTTGGAATCTGGTTTCATASTTTTACTGATCTTTTGTTTGTTTTGACTTTTTTGTTGGTATTCTTTGGAGAAAGAGCAAGAATTTTAAATGTTTTTAGGAAAKAAGAGCCAGATTTTCAGATTAAGGCAGACTAAAGTCTCGCAATTCACAGAAGTCTTAACAAGTTGCATAGACACATAAAAAAGTAGAGGGTTTCTGTCTCCTAAGTTAGATAGTAAAAGCTCAGTTATCTCCCCAAATCATCTGGCTGCCTTTCACCAGTGGTTCAGTTTCATTGGTCCAGGTGCCCTGTCTCCAGATGACCGATGGGACACATTTTGGATAGCTGGGCTTCAATTTGTCACCTTGCCTGTGTCAGGGCTCTGAAAGTGTCACCTTAGCACACTGTGCCTCCTCCAACCCACCTGTCCTTCCACAGCACCACCTTTTCTCTCCTGCTGGCCAGCACCTGGCTTTTTCAGCATTGCAGTTCCTTCTGCAAGAGGATTTTCTACACAGAGCCTCTCTTTCTTCCTCCAACTCCAATGTAACTAACACAAGGCCTGGGAAGCAGTGGTTTCATGGAGCACAGAAGACAAGAACTGCTCAGTTTTAGGTGAAAATGAAGATGATGTTCACAGTCTCCCAGAGTGTTGGTCATCTGACAGCTGATGGGAAGAAGCTGCTCCGTGTTTCTAGCACAGCCCAGCTGTGACAGAAGAATTTCTCCACAAGTGAGGGGTGAGTATCTCCCTCTGACTTTGGTGTTAGTACAAAATGGACTGGAGGCACCCCTGTGCTTTAGAAAATGCAAAAAGGTCCAATGGAGGCTGCTCCAGAAGACACAAGGCAGTAGCTGTATCCAAATCCCAAACTTATTGTCTCTGCCTTTGCAGGTTCCCACCTAAGGAAAAGGAAGCACCTGAGAATTTACTGCATCCTGGCACCAAGCCCACCTGATGGGTGTGAGGCAGCTGGAACACAAACCCAGAGCTTTCCTGAACAGTTTGGTGGTTCTGAATCACAACTCTGCCATGTCCAGCAGGAAAACCTTCAGCACTCAGYCCAAGGCTCCTAGGAGCAATGGAGATGCATTTTCTAATTTATTTTTGCCTTACAAAATGCCTGTGCTGTGAGCCTGTGGATGTGGAATATTACCATGATTTTTCCCATGGGATGGATAAAGCTCAGTTTATGTTARCTCCATCTTCAGTGTGTCCTTCATTCTGATAGGAAATTGATTCCTGTCACCAGAGGAAGCCAGTGCATGAAGAATGGGACATTTTTTCCCGAACTCGGAGATTCAGTGTAATGGATGAAAACCAAATGTACACTGCCAGGCCTGCCTTTGATAAAATACAGCCAATCCTTTCTCTGCTTTTTTTATTTGTATTTTTTTTTTCTCCTGCCTACAGCCAAAGCATGGTTAGTTGTCTATGCTGATGATTAAAATCCTGGAGAGAAGGAGAAATGCAGAATCGCTACATTTTGCCCTGAAGAATTTGGAGAGGTTTCTTTTCATTGTGTTAAATTGTATGATCCTGCTTTCACACACACAGCGAGGGCTGACTCTGGTTTATTTGGGAAGCAGGCTTTCACCTCACTGCTCCTGTGTGCCAGGGAACACCCTTATCACTGCCACATGTAAGGAATGCTAAAGCCAGCAATCCTCAGGATCATCCCTAGGATGATTAAAGTACTTCAGAATATGCTGCACAAATCCTTTGTGACTCTTACACCATCACAGTTATTTCAGCAGTAATTTTCTTTTTACAGGAATGGGGTATGTTCTGTGCCAAGCTAGAYAGGGACTCCAGGTAGCCCTTATCCTGGCAGGTGGGATGTGTCTTGTTTGAGCAACACTCTGAGCTGCACCTTCATCTTCCTGCCGTGGGCATACTGTAATAAATGATGGGACACAAGATAGCTGCAGTGCTTGAAATGAGCACTGCAGTAAAATTTCTGCAGAAGAGAGCTCTGGAAAGGGAGATTATTGGGCACGGGGCAGCATCTCTGCCCTGGCTACACTGGGACCTTCCAATTTTTATTTTTCTAAGAGAGTAAGAAATGCATTTTTAATGGAAACCCAAGATTTTGTCAGATAATCTGAATTTAGCAACAAAGCCTTAAGTTTGTAGTRTTCTTCTCTCAATGAAAAACTGAAAGGATCTGGTAAACCTTGTGTAAACTRATTTGTAAAATTGCAATGACTGTGACAAGTGTGCTGAAGCGGACAAAAAATGAATAAGGGRCCACCTTATGCCCAAGTAACAAAAGATCATAGCTAGAATAATCTATGTACCATGACRACAGCCCTGTGTTTCTAAAAGATAAAGCTGTGCTCTCTTTCTAGGAGATGAACCTTACACTGCAAACAAAGAAAAGATAATTCACCAATGGTGTGATGGTTTTCTCTTTCTTTTCACAGGTTTGGATCATCCCCACAGCCTGTCCTACAAACTGGAACTGGGCTCRGACCAGGAGATTCCATCTGACTGGTATCCATTTGCTACTGTCCAGTTTGTAGTTCATGATACCTGCGCTTCAGGAACAGAAGTGAAATCCCTGGGCATAGAGAGCGATCTCCAGCCCCAGAAACACGTGCTGCAGAAAGCTTTTTACAATTGCCAGGTATTCTCAGGGCTATGCTTTCCCTGTTTTCCTCCTCTTCTTCCTCACTCCCCCATGAAGCATTTGGAAAGCAAATGTGCTTTGTATTCTAAATATATCTTGCATGTGCTTTTGATAATGACTTGGAGCAAAAGAATCATTAAATAATAATCCCTTTTCTGATCAAATATGAGGCTGAAAAATAGAACTGTGAATGCAGCTTTGCTTTTCCTCAGTTGAGCTATTTTTGGGAGTAGTGGTTTTGAAAACTGTTTGGTTCGGAAGTATTTTGATTTTGTGTCAAAGCTTTTTTCTATGCCATTGTGCAGTTCACACTTTCASTGTCCAATAATTTGCTAATTCTACCTGCTGCTTTTTGTTTTCTACCTACAGGTTGAAATTGAAAAAAAGTGGATTAGGCTTGATGGAGAAGACCCAGATAAGGCTGGCAACTGCCTRATGCAATGAAAGAGGACAGGAGGCACTGTCACAGGATATTAGTAGGAATCAATTTACATAGGAAATTCTATTGTTAGAAGAAGCGCAGTGACCTAGTTTAGGGTAAACATGGTCATTGAATTTTTTTTTAGTGTTTATGGGTTTGAGTCGGTAAATCAGTGCTCATTTGACTGTGTTCAGCTAAATTTCCTGTCATGGGAGTCCTGGTGTGAGTCAGGGCTGCAGGATGTGAGCACTTCATGGATCCCAAGGTGTTATTTCCCTGTTGTGGGTCWGTCACTTATGAATGATCTCCTACTCCAAATTGAAACCAAGTGGCACTACTCAAAGGGTTCACATCACTTGGATATAAAATATCTGTAATAAAGGCTTCCAGTGCTTGTGTGCAGACCAGCACTTGGGTAAGGTCCAGCAGGACCAATTACAGTTTTTAGTGCTTTAGTTTGAAAACTAGAGTCCCTCATGTTTCTGCTCCCCTTCATGTATGTGAAAGTCCAAATAATATTCTCAACAAGAGCCTTAATGAGCTGGAAACTGGGTGATTTCATTGGCAAAAAGAGTCCTCTGCAATAATATCCTTTATTTTTCTGTGGCTGCAGCAGTTTCCTTCTCACCACTTTATAGGTTCACTCAAAGTAATCTCTTGGGCAAAAAAACTCCACATGGCAGATGTGATTGAAGTTTCTGTGCCCAGCATTTGACAGTTCTTTTTCACTACTGTAGCAAGATAAGGGGGTGGATTCTCAGCGAGTGTAAATCAGTACGGGCYCATTTCATCTCAGGAGGCTTTCAGAATTTACACCAGAGGAGGTTTTCCCCCACCAGCTGGAGGAAAGACTGGTTGCTGCTGTTTSCTCTGTGTCTCCTTTAGGATTCAAGTTCCAGGTGTTGGTATGGAAATTGCAGGAGCTGAGGCTTTGAGTAACCAGACATGCATGGGAAGGGAGATGTTTTCATGCTACTGGCTCTAAAGGCATTTTCCATGGGGAAATAATGSAGGAATGGACTGTCACTAGAGACATGAAGCTGTGATGCTTCATCAGGCAGCCTGAGCTACTAATCACTAATGTCAATGTGTTAACTCTGTTTTCAACAAACAATTGGCCTTTAGGGAAAGGCTYTAATACTTCCCTTCAGCCGTTATCCTCTTTGTCATTTTCTGCAGGCTGTAATTCCAGGTCTGAAAAAATAATATAAACTTTAAAAATGCTCATGGAACCTCCTTTTTTGTTTATTATTTTTGGCTGCAGTTTTCCTAAAATTATTCTTACTTCAAACTAAAATTAGTGGAGAAGAAAAATATAGTAATGCACTGCCTCACTTTATATTTTCTACAGCTTGTAACTGTTTATATGAACACTGTGTAAAAATACAGATAAATGGTGTTCCCCAAAAGTAGAAATATGTGGGATATACACTGAGAAAATTACCAGTCTGAGGAAACAGAGGACCATAATATGAACGTAGTTCATCATCATAAACTTTCCCCCCTATTTGGAAGCTGAGAATGAAATGGGTAATAGATTCTACAGTAAGTCCTGAGGGCAGGTTTTTTATGGGTATTGCATTGCCAAAGCCCCTGATAGGCTATTATAGTATTTGGGCTTCTCTATATATTCCTTTTTATTAGCAGATTATATTGTTATAAATCTAAGCAAGTGCTGGGCTATAGTAGTGATCCAAATATGTCTCAGCTGTTGCATCCTCTGTCTGTGTTTTGACTTGAGAAGCCATTAGCACCTTCAAATCATGTTTGGTGTGTTTTATTAATATTTAATTTTGGTTTATTTTCTGCTCAGCTGAGCTAAGGGGCACAGTGTGCACCAGGGCAGTGTTTACACTTGGCAACATGGAAAGCTCTGCAGTTTGCTGAARTCCATGGTTGTACTACAGCTGTGGTATTTATTAACCTCTTTGCTCAGTGAGGTRGAGGAAGCACAATATGTGTTGCAAATACCTGCAGTTTCCTTTGTCTGAGGCTGTTTGATTTGCATTAATATAGCTAATTCAACGAGCCTATTCACTGTGCTTGCTCTCCAAAGCCTGTCTCACCCAGCTGGCCCCCATTCTTCTGTTTTTAAGAAGGAGGAACCTGAATAGCTCCATTCCATCTCTCTTTCACCTTAGGATCTCCATTCCCACACTCAGCTCCTGGAATGGGTACCTGGTGGTGTTACAGAAACAGTGGCTGTGTTTCTCCTCTCAGGTGTCTGCTGTGCCTCAGGATGTGTTTAAGGAGCCTGTGCAGTGTTGACCCTTCCARTACAAACTGTGGTTTGGAGAGAGTGGTCTAAATAATGAATTACACCTTACAGGTCTCCATTCCTGCTAGTGAGTTGTTTGAAGGTGTTATGGTGCAAAAGATCACTCAGACTTACTGAACTCATTACCATAAAAAGGTCAAGCTACAGCTTTACCTGTGTAGCAAACTCTCAGATTTTCATCTGAGGCTTGCAAGACTTGCTGTTAACTTTAATCAGAATTGGATCAGGATCACAGGGAATTAATTCAATAGAAATATTACTACACTGAAAGTTACTCTGTTTAAAACATGGCTTTCAGTTTAAACTTGATAATTAGTGCAGCCTAAGGCTGAATAATTGCCCTGTTCAGTCTCACATTGATGTTTACATGCCTTGATGTCAGAATATGTAAAAATAGGCTGCAGTCTAGCAAAAGAAAGTTTGAGTTGTCTGACTTCTCCCCCCATCAAATTCTGACTTCCTCTTCTTTTGCCACATGTCAAACCAGAAACACCCAGGCTTCCCCTTTCTTCTGCAATGTCTCAAGCATAACCCCCTGAACAAATATTCTTAACTTTAAGACTCACTGCTAACATTTTCCATGAAAGTTACAGCAGCTGATAGTGAGTAAACGTATGGGCTTTGCATTCTTTAGAAATCTGGGCTATAAGCAGTCTAATTGTAATTTTGGGGAGGGGAATGGAGGTCAGGAACTGTTGCTGTAAGCTGCTGTGATGCTCAGTGTCCAGCTAGCAGAAGGACTGGAGCTTTAAATAACCCATGAGGTATTGGATGGTGTGAGAAGCAGGTTTCACTTGTGTCTGATCTCTGCTTCCCGCAGCGAGCGCCTGCAGCCGCTGAAATGATTTCAACTCTCTGGGTCTCTTAAGATGCTGACATTTTGCTAACATTTACTTCAGGGCAGTGTTTAGATATTATCTCTGTTTCCTTYACAAAGGACCAGCAGGGTTTGGGATATTTTATATTTAAAACAGAAATCAATGAAACAACTATTTTTATAGTGTTTTTGCCTTACTTACCGAGTGTCGTRTTTGCTGAAACCGACAAACTTTATCTTTACATTCATCTTTCTCATACTAATTGTATTACTCCAGGTAAATGGTACTTGATGTAATTTTGGATTCAAACACCCATTGAAGTCAATGGAAGTCTTTTAACTGACAAAATGGGATCTGCATCAAAGTCTCTAAGAATAAAAGAGAGGCACAAAAAAAGAAGAAGAAAGGAATAGTGGTAATGGTATGTAGGTGATTTTTTTATATTAGTAAGAACCCTGCAATGCCTGCTTATTCCAACCAGGAGAGCACAAAAGATAGGAAAAGAGGTGCTCCTGGATGTCACAGCAGAAGCTTTGCAGWGATTGGGAACAATGGTTCTGTTGCYTYTGGGTGGCAGCTCTGGAGAGATGAGGATGATGATGCACTCCATTGAACCTGATACCAAGCCACTGTCATCCTTATGCTCCTTGCTTTGTTTTCCTCCAGATTCTGTATTGATTGTCCAAAAGTATTTTACATCTGAACACATGTTTTTCACATGTTATTTTTGGTTGTGTTTATTTTATCTGGCAGACTTCTTAGCTGCAGTATTGGTGTCTATACTTTTATTTTGCATTTATTTGTCTTTTTGTTACTTAACACAGTAACTAACTGCTGCAGTTAGTAGTTCTTAGCAATAATTTTCATAACTCCGAGGCAGTGCTGTTACTCCTAATGGAAACTATAATTTTATTTGGGTCTTTTGTCAGTATAAGTACAAACAGATCATGCTGATAATCTTGTAATAACGTTTTGTAGATTGCATATTGATTAAAAAAAATAAAGTTGTATTTCAAACTAGCAGYTTCTTGTCCCTTCACTAGAAATTTATCAAGCTAGTTTTGAATTTGCAAWAATTAACTGGTTGATCWTGATCATCAGGTGTTGCAGCTCATYAGAAAGAACTGTTCTGCTCTGTGAGTGGGGAAGATACTCCTCATAATAAATAGAGCTGGTTGCAGAAAGCTCAGCGATGCACTGTGTTACATTTATCATGGAATGGTTTGGGTTGGAAGGGACCATGCAGTTCCAATCCCCCTGCCAGGAAGGGACTGTTTTCACTGGGCCAGGTTGTGCAAAGYCCCATCTAGCCTTGAACACTTCCATGGTTGGGGCATCCACAGCTTCTCTGGGCAGCCTGTGTCACTGCCTCACCACCCTCAYGGTAAAGAGTTTCTTCCTRACATCTCATCCAAACCTGCCCTCTTTCRRTTTAAAGCCATTCCCCYTTGTCCATCACCAGTTGCTCTTAGCAGCTTTTWGTAGCCCCCTTTAGGCACTGGAAGGTGCTCTGAGGTCTCCCTGGAGCCTTTCTCTTCTCCAGGAGAACARTCCCAGTTCTCTCAGCCTGTGTTCAGAGGGGCTCCAGCCCTCSGAGCATCTGTGTGCTCTTCTGTCCCTTCTCTGGACTCGCCCCAGCAGATCCACGTCCGTCTTCTGTTGGGGGCCCCAGAGCTGAATRCAGCACTCAGGGTGGGGTCTCACAATGATTTATGGCAGACCCTTTTTTGCCTTATTTTCATATCAGTAGTAACCTAAAGAATGCCGTGGTTGTTCCTGTTGAGTGCTCCCTCTGGTCTGTCTGGGATATTTGAATATAATGTAGYGACAACTGTTTAAGACTTTCACAAATTTCTAAGCCTGTTCTGTTACTAGGGAAACAGTGAGACCTCTGTGGGGAAATATGGGACTGAGGCAAGAGGTTTGTGAGGCAGCGTTCAAAGAATGGGCTTGAATAAAATAACGGTGCCACTTGTCCTATGCTTCTGTGACTGTAGCAAAGCAATCAGCTATTCTGGGAAACACTGGGAAATAGAGTTAACATCCATTTTCACTTCAGGGTGTGCTATCCTTCAGTGAGCATCTGCAAATGGAAAGCAGGTAGCCAGCACAAGTGTAGTCCCCTTAYAGAGCTTAAACATTTTGTTATTTTTAAAAGTATCAGTGATCAATATGATTCAGGGACATGAAAAAGTGGGATGGCAAATTGCTAGAATATAAGTAAAAACATTAAAACATTTATTTTGGGAGAGCTTCCTAGTATTTGCAATGCCTTTTATGTGGTATTTTATAGCACCGTTCTTTCTTCAGCAAAAACAATTTTTTACAATAACAAGCATAACATGTTGTAAGTGGTCCTCATGATCCCTGCTGAAGCCTTACTGATAAAAATAAAASAACTGGCTCAAAATTCTGCTTTGCAATCCCAACCTCCAGTGTGATGAAGTATTTCTGGTTGTGGATGTGTGCAGCCCAGCATTACATTGCATTGTGATGGCCTTTCTGGTTTAACAGGSACTAACTTGCAGTTCCAACAATAAAAGTCCAAGGGGAAAAGTCAGAGTAGGGACATGCTGGGAGTAGGGACATCTGCACCATTGTCAACAATGGTAACCTCTCCTCCTCCATGGAACTGTCTTGTTAATGCAGGGGAATGGCAAGGTCATGCTGTAAGGAATACAGTGACAACATCCAACAACACCCAGCAGTGAAACAGGGAGCATTTARGGCAAGAATTTTGGCATTAGCTTGGTGATACCCAGAGCAAAGGTACCCTTGTAACCTCTGACTGCAGTCTGGGATGGGACCTTCATCTGTCACCTGTAGTGGAGTAGATGTCACTGTCTAAATGTAAATAACGACACCAGGATCTAAATGAGGGTTCATCCAAAGTGGAAGGAGCCATCCACTGCCTGAAGAGAAAAGGGAAAGAAAGGGCTGCTTTAGCCCCCTTCATGTAAACCCTTACTGAATATCTTTGCTGCTAATTGCGGGATTACAGTGTCAAGAGGGGAATGCAGAAGATCTGCTCAGGGTGGGTTTACACAAAAGTGGAGCTGGGGGCAAAAAGAAAAACCAAAGAAAAATGAAAAGGTGGGTACAGTTGTGTATTAGGACAGAAGGAACCCCTCCTCATTTTCTCAGGAGAAGAAGCTCAGGAATGTGACCTTTAGCAAATATTGGGGTCCTCATATAAATGCTTCCCCCACCCATCATGGTAATGAAGGTTAGTCTCCATACATCTGAGTTATTCTTTAGCAGAGTTAAATAGGTGTTAACGAAGCCGTCAAAGGGAGAGCCTGACTGCTAAGCTGTGCTTCAGCTTGTCTCTCAAAGCCACTTTCTAGTGGTGACTTGGGGCTGCAACCTCTGCTGCTGGTGAAGGGGCCTGATGTGGTCACTCAGCTTTGTTCCTCTTGAAATTCCCAAATGCAAAGATAGAGCAAACTGGCCTCGACCAAAACTGCTCAGTGCTTATTTAACATCGCACTAAAACTGCTGGACCTCTGCAATCATCTGCTCAACGATGACCTTTCAGCAGCTAATTCAGACAAAGAAATGATGTTTTGGGCATTGGCTGTCCCACTGCACTGTGCCTCTGTGGTTCTGCACCTCCCTGGTAGTGAACCCCTCCCCAACGGAGCCAGGAGCAGATGAGTGGCAATTACACACTTGTGAGGAAGGAATGAGACGCCAACCGCTGATGAAGAAGGGTAAAAYCAGATGGCAGGGAGGGATCATGGAGAGGGATGAGGGGACAAAAGAGGAGAGGGCTGGACTGGGGTTTTTCATGGTGCCACCGGTCAGGAGGCTGGGGTGTCTCTGGGAAAGAAGATACCACTATGTGAAAACTATCTGGGAAAGTGATACCACTATGCCATACCCAGGGAAAGAAGGCAGGCAGCAAAGGAGGTGAGGGAAGGGGAGACAACACTGAGCTGGACACACCAGGAGTGTGACASAAAGGGACAAGGAAAAGGACAGTGAAATGGCTGGTGGCTGCTSTTTCCCTTCGGGGCTCTCTCCACTATCAGGGTGAGTATTTAGGAGAGGAAAGGCTTGCTTCATCCTTAATTAGGCTGACTCACACTACCCAAGCCTTTGGGCTYATTGAGGAGCTGAGATATACAGTACCAGTCAGTATATTCAATCCATCAGRCTGCCATTTTTATATAGCAGTTTGTACAGCCCTTCATAAACCACCCAATGKCCTGAAAATTGTCATTAAACTGAATTAAGGGAGAGGTGTTTCTATAGCTCTTCTGACAAAGTGGCTTAAATCAGGTGAAAAACGAGAGGGTCTTGAAGAAATAGGAATCAGATATGATAAATGAAAAAGGAACAAATCACACATCCCAGTATTATCTGTCTCAGAACTCTGAGGGAAATGATGTGGCTTGTATCAAAATCATGCTGTTAATAAAATAGGTTATGAGACTGGAGTGCTGTATATCTATGAGTCAACAGCTGAAAACAAAGGGAACATTTTAGAGAGTGTCTTTAAAATGAAATTGCACCTCTGCTGTGTCATGTTATCTCCACAAGGACTGCCTGGATCTCTGCAAACAGTTCCCCCTACGAATGATTGCCTTTACTTGGAAAGAAAAGGCAAGCTGGAATTTGTATAATATGCCTCGAGTAAGAATTTTGCAGTCCTGCAGTTGATCTGTGTTCCTCTCCAGCAGCAATGCTGGATTTAAACAGAAGAGGGCATTCATTACCAAGCATCCGCGTGTGCTGAGGACCCTGTTTCTTAGAGGGAAGACATTTGAAAACGGTAATTTTTTTTTAAATTATTAATAAAGGCTCATAATCTAAAAATAAATCTTCTTTAGATATCATGTACCAAAAGGAATATAAATAATTACAAATTAAAACCTGTCTAGTAAACAATTGTTTGAGGTGCACCTTAGCAGCGTTATCCCAAATGCAGACAAAACCCCTGAAAAATCAGGAGGGYTTGCACAGCGTGCTAATCTTCTCCACAGCATCTTCTCTAAAACTCTTCTGAGCTCTCAAAGASACTACAGTGGGGAGARCTGGGCTGGAAGYTGAACCAAAACTGATGAAACCTCARTGCTGTTCRTGACTGCCATTTGTGAGCTTGGACAAGTTATTTGGGGGTCTGTGCCTCAGTTTCTTCTCTTAAAACTGGGATTAAATGTTAAAAACTTCCATAAACGTGAGAATGACCACAGGGTTGTACTTTACACTACAGGACATGGATAGTAGGTTAAGATCACCATATCAAAGCTAGCCAGCCAGTATGAGTAATGAAAGTTACAGATATGTAAATATACTTTTCCTTGTTCAGAAATGACTGGATTTTCTCTGCACGTACCAGGCTTTGTGACACTGTTCAGCTGACAGTCTTTGGACAAAAAGACATCTTCCCTAGGAATTTGTAAAAGAAATTATAWAAGGTGTGTTGCTAGGCCGCAGATGAAAATAGAAGTATCTTGGTTGGCAGGAAATGCTCTCTGCACCCTCCCGTGCAGCGTGGAAAGTGTGCAGTTTCTGCTTGATCCCCAGTGATATCTGTGTGCTGTCAGTAGSTTTATCTGCTGTCCCTGCTGGAACAGAGCTGACCTGGGGACAGGACCTTTGTTATTCACAGCAGAAAGGGTGTATTTTAGAACCCACGCCCACGCTGCCTTGTGGGAATGCAAATACAGAGACATGCTGTCCACTTCGAGTGCAGGTAAAGATCATTTCCTTTGGTCTGCAAGTTTTTCTGTGGAAATAGGCAAAGTAACCTCATCACTATAGTCCTATCATTGAATAGTCCTTTGGTAACAAGCTCCCCAGCCCTCCTTCTGTTTGAAGTTAGGTGTACAAACTTCTGATTCCAAGGCACTTGGTGATCCCTGGATAAACAGAGAGGTGTAGAAAGCAGGGAGCTCATTCATCAATCTCCTTTCTGCCCTTCCACCTTTCTGGAAGCGCTGTACAGTGTGCTGGCAGGGCGATGGCTCCGTGTCAGCTCTGACTGCCCCCAGAGCCAGCTGCAGGATCCCATCTGCGACCTTCAGGGCTCAGCGAGATCCTCAAGGCTGCAGCTCCTTCCTGCTATCTCTGCTCACACAAGGGCAAAAACTGTCAGGAGAAGGATAAGGACACTGTTGGTAT